TAGGGTTTATGTTATTTCCTTGAGAAAGGCTTTCTGCACCTTGGTGATCTTTGATCTCCTCCATGTTGTTCAAAATAGATCTCCACCTCTCCATGATTGCGAACCTGTGCCTTAGAAACATGGATATATAAAAAACATATAAAATAAGTGTCACTAGATGGCAGTATCTGCTACACAGTTGTAAGGAATACCCAAACTTTGGTATTTTGTACTACTTTATAGCACTTCACATTTACAAATAGAAATAACTGTGTAAAGTAGATAAAATATTGCTGACATTAATTCCAATATCAAATAAAACTATAGCAATCTTAATTTTGAGACACAATGGACAAGTGAACCACTGTGAAAATCCAATAGCTTGCTCTGGATATAGTTCATCAAAACTTAACCTAATGGGAAGTTAGTTGAGGTTTTTTTTTTTTTAATATTCTTAATTCTAAAATATTTTTTACGTTTGTTTTTAAGATCAGCATATATATATTTATTTATTTCAGGTACTTATATAGCACTGTAATTTACGCAGCACTTTACATATATATATTGTACATTCACATCAGTCCCTAACCCTCAAGGGGTGTACAATCTAAGGTCCCTAACTTACATTCATACATACACATACTAGGGCCAATTTAGACAGGATCCAAATAACCTAACCAGCATGTCTTTGGAGTGTGAGAGGAAACCGGAGCACCCGGAGGAAACCCAGGCAAGCACAGGTCGGGAAAACCCATGACCCAAACTCCAAGCAGACGGCGCCACTAAGGAACTCGAACGTGCCCCATGTGTGTGTGTGTGTGTGTGTGTTACTGTGAATGACCATATTATCATCTTCATCATTCCTCCAAGTTTTGTGTTTAAAAGGTACGTGCACCAGGGTAATTAGTATACAGGATTTATATAAAGCCAACAGTTTGTGCAGCACTTTACAACATGAGGGTAGACAGTACAGTTACAATGCAATTCAATACAGGAGGAATCAGAAGGCCCTGTTGATCAGAGCTTACACTCTGAAAGGGAGGGTCAAGTGATACAAAAAGAAGTAACTGTGAGGGATGAGCTGATGGAGCAGAGGTGGAATAGGCTTCTCTGAAGAGAAGGGTTTTCACTTTTGCCTAAAAGTGGACAGAGTAGGAAATAGCTAGACAGATTGTGGTAGGGAGGTCCATAGGATGGGAGATGCTTGGGAGAAGTCCTGGAGGTGAGCATGGGAGGAGATGACAAGGAAGCTAGAAAGCAGGAGGTCTTGTGAGGAATGTAAAGAATGATTTGGTTGGTATTTTGAGACTAGATTAGTGATGTAGCTGGGGCAGCATTGTGGATGGCTTTGTAAGTTATTGTTAGTATTTTGAATTTAAGTCGTCGGGTGAGTGGCAGCCAATGGAGGGATTGGCAGAGAGGGGTAGCAGACACTGAGAGCGGATTCATGCGGTGTGGATTGAAGCTCAGGTTTCACAGCTAATTGATACAGTAGCTGTTCACAGGTTCACATCAGGTTTACATCAGGTTCAGGACAGGATTAGCTCAGGATATTGTCCTGTTCATACATATGCGGTTTAGGAACGGTTCCCATAGAAGTCAATAGCCTGTAATCCGCACCTGAACCTGAAGCCACTGCTCAGAAATCAGACATCACTCTTTTTTAAAACCGCACTGAATCCACAACGGCCGTGCAGCAGCCATATGTGAACAGGCACCTTAGGAAACAATGTTATTTCAAACCACATCCAATCCACATGTATGTGAACGGGCACTGAATGTTTGGTACTGTGGATGAGCCTGGCAGCAGTGTTCATGATAAACTGCAGGGGGATAGCCTTTGTAAAGGTAGGTCAATGAGGAGGGAGTTGCAGTAGTCGAGGTGAGAGATAACCAGGGAGTGAATTGGAAGCTTTGTGGTGTCATTGGTTAGGAAGGGCTGTATTTTGGACATGTTGTGGCAGTAGAGGCGGCAAACTTTGGACAGTGATTTGATGTGGGGCCAAAAGGAGAGTTCAGAGTCCAAGATTACATCTAGCACCCTGGCATGCTGGGAAAGGTTGATAGTTGTTCTGTTAATCATGACAGAGAAGTCAGGGGAAGGGGAACGTGGGGGAGGAAATACTGTAAGCTCAGTTTTGGATATACGGAGTTTGAGGAAGTGGTATGACATCCAGACTGATATGACTGTTAGTAAATTAGTGATGCATGAGGAAACTGATGTTTTAGGCTGATGGGTAGAGAGATAGATTTGGACGTTGTCACCATAGAAATATTGAAAGCCATGGGAGACGTGTAGATCAAGAATAGGAAAGGTTCAAAAACAGAACCTTGGGGAACTCCAAAAGGAGAAAGAAAGAGAGGAGGAAGTAGAATTGGAAGTGACACTGAAGGTGCAATGAGATAGCTAGGATGAGAACTAATGAACAGCACAGTCATGGAGACCAAAGGAGTAAAGGGGGTGGTCAACCGTATCAAAGGCAGCAGAAAATGAGGTCCAGAAGTAGAACACAAGTGCAGAATAGTGTGCCCATTGGTTTCTATTTAGCTGTTAGTCTTCAGCATTTTGTGTGTCCTAAGGGAATTCCTGTACGGCGATTGGCGCATACATTATAACATTGCGCATAAAAATTAAGCCAGGCGCACTGCTAATAAAAATAGGGTGTTTGACTCAGAAAATGCGCACACAAGTGCACGGTCGGGGGTGTGCCTAATCTCCAAGCCTAAATGATATTTTTTAAATGGAAGGCCAATCAAGAGTCAGCTGGAGACAACATGTGCACTTCCCTTCCTTTTAGTTTGCAGAGTCACATGATCTGAGGGAACTACCAATCAACGAAGAGCACAAGAACGGGAAGTGTAGTTGCTGGTCTATAGAATCTTACTGGAGAGCAGACATGCTACCAGTTACTTTGTGACAGTTGTGGAAGGGAGATCCAACTTGTCCATGTTATTCGTTAGGGTGCCCTGCTTTACAAAAAATATATAATGTTTGGGGGGTTACCTAATCTTCAAGCCTAAAAATTATTTTTTTAAAAACGTTCCCTGCTTGGCCAGTCAGCTGGAGACAACATGTGCACTTCCCTTCCTTTTAGTTTTTATCTACAAGGCCAAACTTGACTCTTCAGAACTGCAGGGGGACCCAACTTTTGTGAAGATTTTTAATAAATCCCCACTGACTCAATTTTGAGGGACTGCCTCTGTTTAAAAATAAATCCCTCTGTCACTCCTTCCTCCCCAGTTAACCATCTTTTCGTTTTCATGTTGGGACCCATAAAAAAAAGCACTATATTGCTACTACTGGTGAAAGTGATTATCAAAACTACAAAGTGTCATGATTTGGATTCTCTCAACGCTCCCAGAGCAAATACGCTTGTGCTGATTTATAATTTGATCAGCAGTTTGAAAATCTAGTATGAGTTTATTATTCAAGAATCTTAGTGATGACAAAAATATTTCTCAGTTTAACTAACCATTTTTTTGCTTTTTGCAAGGAGATTAAAGTTAGCAATTTTTCTACTGTTTTTACATATTGAATTTCTGGTAAGTCAAACTGCTGTTTTCACAACGGAGTTTTTTTTTTGCTTACCTTATTACTTAAAGACAGTTAATGGAAATTGGGGTCCTGCTCCCAGGTGCTGAAGAGAAAAATGGTTGAGCTGAAAGCAGGGTTTGTATGCCATTTCCTAGATAGAAAACTCCAGAATAGTATGCACTGACTTCAGGCGCTCACTGCTTACATCACCATATCTCAATGTGGTCCAGCGGGTACAGCAGTACAAACTCCAAAGAGGTAGGTTAATTGGATCCTGTCTAAATTGGCACTATTATGTGTATGAATGAATGTAAGTTAGAGACCTTAGACCGTACACCTCAAGAGGTTTAGGGACTGATGTAAATGCACAATATATATGTAAAGTGTTGCGTAAATTGACGGCGCTATACAGTACCTGTAATAAATAAATAATAACACTGCAGTGCTTTTCATAGTACTGGAAGAGCGTTGACAGCCTTTCAGAGGAAATGCATCACTCTTGCCAACAGTTTAGCTGACAGTGTCACCAGGTATTTAACGGGAAAACAGGACAACCACACTAGGCAATGTTATTCCTATTAGATTTTTCAATTTTTTCCCAATAGCTCTACTAGTATGTGTCAAATGTAGGGAAACGGGGTAGCAGGGATGTGCCCACAGCCTACATACATTGTCCTACAAGGTGTCCCTTTTTCCCCCCCCATCTCAGAAAGTTAGGAGGTGTGTATTTCAGTGTCTTTTCAAGAAGGGCGAACAAAAGACAATTATTACCTGAAAACATTTCCATCTGAAAGAAAAAATATTTGATCATAGTTACATAGTTTGTCTTCTTGAAAAAAAAAAAACAAAAATTCTATCCAGTTCAACCATAGAAAAAAAAAAAAAGTTATAATCCTATACCCACAGTTGATCCAGAGGAAGGCAAAAAAAACCCCAGCAAAGCATGATCCAATTTGCTCCTGCTGGGAAAACAATTCCTTCCTGATCCCCCGAGAGGCAATCGGATATTCCCTGATCAGATTGAAATGATGTTGAAATTTAAAACGTTTACAATACAAACTGTTTTACAACAATGTATTTTATTTTTCAGCTTTTGGTTTGTCTCCTATATCATTAGAGATCTCCTTAATGGTAAAATGACAGAATTAATTTCTTCAAAATAAAATCATATAAAAGTTTTGGGCAATATATGAAATAGGAACTATGAAACTTTAATAGTGTGTGATTTGAATGCCGCATATGCATCATGAATTCCACTTTCATTAGGAGCCAAGATGGTCAATTCAAAGTTACTTTAGTGGTCTGCAAGTTATAGGTTTCAGCAGATGGGCTTCCATTTTAAGTGATAATCTTTTAAAAATTAAGGCACCCTTTAATTAAAAGAATATCCCAATATATGGGAATACAATAGGTTAATCAAGGATAGGCTTGCAGATATGATTAGTGCAACATTGCATATTGTCTTCAGCAGTCTTTTATCCTAATCTCATTCAAGATCGAAAGGACAGTTTCCAGCCTCTATTCTTTCAACTGGAAATACAGGGAGAACAAGGTGAGAAATACGGCTCCACACCCCACCCAGCTTATCACTATCCATCTCCTGATGTGATCTACTGGTGCCAGAGTGAATAAACTGCTTCCACAGAAAGTCTCGGACTTTTTCTTCCAACTCTGGAAGAGGAGTGTCTGGCTCTAGTGATGAATCCTCGAGTAATATAGTGAACACAAGTGCCACTTTCTTGTAAGCAGCATTTTCATGATCACAGTACTTGTAAAGGATGAGCAAGGAGCCAGGAGGCAAGGTTTCTAGATGGTTTAAAACTGCGGCACGATGCCTAGACTCAAATCCTGAACTTAGTTTTTCATCTATATTAAGTTTGGCAGTGCTGTCATCATATTTGGCTTGAGATGGACCATGGATCACCAACCAACTGGAATTGAGGGCAAAAGCATAGGTTTGTGCTAGACCACTAGCTAAACATAGTAAAGTGTGTTTGGCATCTTGGGCTGCAGTGAGGATGATAGTAGCGGGTTCATCGGGATGAGATTTGTTCAGATGATTTGTCATCATTTTTCCACTTCTTAACCACAAATTCTGACTCTGTTCAGGAAAATCTTCTTGGAGTCTTTTAAACTCATCCTGGAAAATCTGAAGTGCTGATCTGGAGTTTGAAGTCTGTGTTCCACAGAACTGATGGATATACACACCAACACCAATAGCAATAGCAAGTACTAAAACAGCTGCACCACCTGCAATACAAATAAAGACACCATAACACCAGTGTCGCTTAGACATCTTCAGAGACACGTGTGCAACAAATTTAAGACAACACAATTATATCTGAAATGTGCAAACTAGTGTCCCAGTTCATTACAAAGTAATGAAATAGGAGTGATCGCCCCATTTTACATACTAAGAAAGACACCCAGACATATGTTTTTTTTTTTTTTTTTTTAAATCTTCAGCATAAAACCTACAGCTGTCACATAATCCAAATGAAAGTTGTATCCAATACCCATTATGTTGGGTGTATTGAGTTATGCCTATACTCTGCGTTCCCTCTCACTTATTAGTATTCCAGAGAACTACTTCTATTCAGAAAAACAGTTTATGTCAAGTACAATTAAAGGCTTTTGTATTGCTTTCTAACCAAATCTAGTTACTATGGGGGAGATTTACTAAAACTGGTGCACACAGAATCTGGTACAGCTGTGCATAAACATAAATCGGCTTCTAGGTCAGGAGTGTCCAAACTTTTGACCTTCCTGAGCCACATTGGAAGAAGAGGAATTGTCTTTGGCCGCATTTGCTTGGGTACAGAAGCCCATTCATTTGAATGGGCTGCTGTGTGCCTGCGTTTCATGCATGAAAAAGGTTCCTGCACCATTTTTGAAATGCAGCGGCCGGGAAAACGCATTGTGCTTTTCCACCATGCAATTTCCCGTTGGTTCTCACACTCACACTTTAGATACGTGGGGGAGCCATTAAGAATGAATAGCAGCCATGTGCATCTGTAAAGAGCAGCATGTTGCATGTGGGGGGGAACACCCGCAACCACCCACAGCAGTATGAACCTAGCCTAAATTCACGGACAGTTTGTAAAATCTGGGATACTTTCATCTGTCTGTGAACATCCACGGACTACATGTCCATAACACATTCATAGACAGATGTAAAAATCATGGATTTTATAAAAAAAACTGTCCATGAATTTAATGGGGGTTGGCAACCATGTGGGGTGATAGAGGGGAGGTTGTGGACGGGGGGGGGCTTTCGGGGGGGGGGGAGCAACTTAAATCTGGGGGGGGGGGTGCGCAGCCCTCAACACCCCCCCAATTTAACCAAGTGGCATTTACTTGCCTGGTGGTATGTAGAATCCCTGCTTTAGCAGTTTTACAAAGACGGCACCCTTGGCATCCTTTTAGCTGTGCTCATTCCTGAATTCTCTGCTGCTGTATTCCTGAATTCTCTGCCGCTGTATTCCTGAATTCTCTGCCGCTGTGGCTTCTAAGCAAATAGGTATATACGGCATTCCCTGCAACCCTTCATATATGCTAGCTGCTGTGTCTTCTTTTGCACGGCTTCTTCTAGACATGTCCCAGGTTGGAAACCCCAGTTCTAGGTTTTATTGCCAAAGATAAACTGAACAAGCTGACATTAAAAGCTAATAGGTTACTATGCACAGGTGCACTAGATTCTGTGTGCTCCAGATTTAGTAAATCTCCCCCTGGGTGACGCACAAGACTCAAAAAGTAAACAAAAATCTTCCTTTACTTTCCCCTGACTGATCCATATCCTCCTTCATTTGCATCTCACATGTTCCCAGGCACTGCAGATCACAGTGGGAGGGTTTCAGCAACAGAGGCAGTACTATGAATCCACAAAGAAGTAGGCAGGACTAGGTGAGGTCAGGTACTGATTGAAAAGCTAGAGGCTGGTGACTTTTTTTTTTTTTGGAGGGATTAAGATAAAACTACAAAGTGCACATCGACTTATAATTAACCAACTCGTGCCCAGCCACTATATTTAAATGAATGGGCAGTAGCCTCCTTGTTCAAAGATGACATCCATGGGACACAGCAGATCACAGATCTGGGTAAAGGGCCACTGTGATTGGCCTTTAGCATGTGATCACCATGACCAATCACAGCAATCACATGTAACCACAGGCTGCAGCCTGTCACGTCTCTTCTCTCAGCGATCAGAGAGGAAGAGGAGGTGAGAGAGTGAGAGGCGAGAGAGGAGGGGCGTGAGAGGATAGAGTGAGAGGAGAGGGGGGTGAGAGAAGAAGAGGGGGGGGGGTGAGAGGAGAGGGGGGGGTGAGAGGAGAGGGGGGGGGGGTGGAGAGGAGAGGGGGGGGGGGGTGGAGAGGAGAGGGGGGGGGGAGAGAGGAGGAGAGAGAGAGAGAGGGGGGTGGAGGAGAGAGGGGGGGGTGAAGAGGAGAGAGGGGGGGTGAAGAGGAGAGAGAGGGGGGTGAAGAGGAGAGAGGGGGGGGGGTGGAGAGGAGAGAGAGGGGGGGTGGAGAGGAGAGAGGGGGGGGGGAGAGGAGAGAGGGGGGTGGAGAGGAGGAGGGGGGGGAGAGAGGAGGGGGGGGAGAGAGGGAGGGGTGGAGAGAGAGGGGGGAGAGGGAGGGGGGGGGGGGGAGAGGGAGGGAGGGGGAGAGAGAGAGGGAGGGAGGGGGGAGAGGGGGGGAGGAGGGAGATGGAGGGGGGAGAGAGGGGGGGAGGAGAGAGAGAGGAGAGGAGAGGGAGGGGGAGAGAGAGAGGGGGAGGGGAGAAGAGGAGAGGGAGAGAGAGGGGGGAGAGAGGAGAGGGGGGAAGAAGAGGGAGGGAGAGAGAGGGGGGGTGCAAAAAAAGAATCACTGGAGAGAGAGAGGTGCATGGACTATGGGAGATGCTTAGAGGGAGGACGAGAGAGGGGAGGGACTATAGGGACATTTGAGGACGAGAGAGGGGAGATAGGGAGAGGACAAGAGAGGGGAGGGGGAGAGATTGAGAGAGAAGGCAAGAGAATGGTCCAGGAGGAGGGATGTTAAAACATACCAGAGAGTTTGGCAGAAAACGCTAGGGGAGAAGCATGAGAGATGCACTCCACACTGAAAAAAGTAATCACTGATAACTGTCATTAGAACAGTGCAATGTCACTATGGTGACAATGTACTGCTTTAGTTAGTGATCAGTTGTGTCACACTTCATATGCCATTGCAGCAGTGAATCTCTGATCATAGCACAGAAAAGACATTTGTGGTTAATGTCACCTACAAGTGCCATAAGTGAAACTGCAGTGAAACTGGTTAAAATATATATTGTAAATTAAGGACTTGCAGTAAATCTCTGAGGAGCGATCGGCTTTCAGACCACTTTTCAGGGAGCATTAAACAGTTTTAAACTCCCTAAATGCTGGACTACCACACCACAACCGAGTGCAATGTGTGCAGTTGTGATGTAGTTACAATGAGGCTCCATTCACTTGAATAGATTTGTGCTCCGCTGGGCGGTAATGCCCACTGTGCACAACAGAGGGTGTAATTCCTGCTGTGGTCACTACCTTTCCAGCTAAAGTGGAAATGTTGAGGGGCAGTAAAAATGCAGCTTAGTCAAGGGGGATTTACTGCCCCCCAACTACAAGTGTGAACGAGCCCTTACACCCTCACCACACCAGTGCAACCAGTCACAGGGTCCCTTAACACCGACACACCAGCAACAGTGTCACCAAAAGGCCCCATTCACACAGGGCGTAGCAATGCATAGTCCATGCGAGTGCTATGTTTACCCATGTGGGGAAGCACAGGAGATCCATGCATAAACATGGCCTTCGCATGGTGTATGCATTGATAAACCCCATGCAAACAAGGCCTAATAGTACAGCCAGTCACAGGTTTTTTGATTGACACCACATCAGTGACAATGTCACCAGACTAGAGCAATCAGCAACAGTGTCCCTGATCTCCATCACATCATCAGTACATTGTCACCAGAGCCAGTGCAGCCTGCAAAAGCATTCCTGATCTCCACGCCAGTGAAATGTTGCCTCTGCCTGCCTCTCGATCCTGGCCATTTATAGACTATGTTTCTGTCTGGACTAATCCTTTGCCTGTTTATTGACCATGGCTCTGTCTGCCACCTGAAATGACCCATCTGCATGTCTCGCTGAAAGAATTCCTGCGAGACAACTGCGCTCCTAGATCTCTTTTGTTTTTCCTTTCTATAGCCTTCTGTATTTCCTGGTCAGTGAACATGGCATTACTAGGGGCAGCCACGCACCAGTAGGCTAGGCTTGTTTGACCATTACAGTACTTTGTTTTCAATGCAGTGTTGGTTGATTTTTGTGATACACAAGATGCAATGTCTAGTACATAATCAGTCCAAACATTGAAAAAGTCTCACAAATGGGGTATCCTCATACTAGAGGGGGAGTAGTAGAATGTGTTTTGGTGAGAACATCTAAGCATGCACATGTTGTGTGTGAAAAATATCTTACAAAATGGACAACTTTAGCTTTTTTTTTTTTTTTTTTTTTTTATACACAATTTTCCTTTTCTTTTGGCATTTTCCAAAATCTTGTGGTAAAAAAAGAAGTGTTTTCAAAAGACTCACTATGCCTCTTAACCACTTCCCCTCCTGAGGATTTACCCCCCTTCCTGACCAGACCATTTTTTGCGTTACTTTAACTGTCAATTGCTCGGTCATGCAATGCTGTGCCCAAATTACATTTAGGTCCTTTTATTCCCCATGAATTGAGCTTTCTCTCGGTAGTATTAGATTGCCTGTGCAGTTTTTATTTTATGCGCTATAATAAAAAAAAAAAAAAAAGACCGACAATTTTGAAAAAAAAAAAAAAAAAAAGATTTTTTTTTTACTTTTTGCTATTAAACATGTCCAAATTTAAAAGAATCAAACTTTGTCATAAATTTAGGCCAAAATGTATTCTGCTATGTCTTTGCTAAAAAAAAAATCCCAGCACTTGTAAATTAATTGGTTTAAGTGAAATTTATTACAAATGGCAGTATAGAGATACCGAATTTTATTTTTCTTTTATTAGTAATGGTGACGATCAGCAACTTATAGCAGGACTGCGGCGGACATTCTGACACTGGGGGGACTGACTTGGTGTCACTAACATCCCCAGTGACACCAATACAGTGATCAGTGCTAACAAAAAAGCACTGACACTGTACTAATGGCACTGGCAGGGAGGGGTTAAACATGAGGCGAGATCAAAGGGTTAACTGTGTGCAGGGAGTGTTTTACTAGGGGCCATGTCAATATGCTTCACTGTAATTACACTGCTCTGGA